CACACACACACACACACACACATATATATATATATATATATATATATATATATCAGACTTTTAGCTGCAATTACTGCGACAGTGCATGCCTGTCCTGCAATGGACTTATCAGTCACAAATGTGCCTGCAAGCGACGTGTACAGACTCCTTCGTGATCTTCGTTTTGCGAAGCTAAGCCATTATATATATATATATATATATATATATATATATATATATATATATATAATGATAAAGTGGAAAAGATTTCGTCTGACGCGTTTCGTTCTTTAGGACTTCATCGGACCAAAAGGAGGTCAACGTTCATGCGAAGGATTACGAAGGAGAGAAAACAGTGAGAATTTTAGATTTTAATTAGTTTTTTTTTTTATTTGTAAATATATCTTTTGAATTCGAACCTGCATCCTATAGGTTCGAATCCTGTCAAAGGACGAATATTTTCTATGAAATTTCTCGGACATTCAGGCCGGTAAATGTTATTTAATACTGTTTATTATAAACAGAGCATTTACTTAAATACTTGTATCTATAAAATAATGTTAAAACATAAAATGTCTTTAATAAATTGTCGGACTTTGTCCAATTCTTAATATATATATATATATATATATATATATATATATATATATATATATATATATATATATATATTTGTTTGTAAAACTCATTATTAAATGTAAAATCGCGTTGATTGGTGATAAGATGCTAGATATCGATTATTTTAGCTGTTGGTGGAGAGAGATTTAACTTTGTGCTGCAGTCTAATCACCAATCGATGCTATTTCACACATACACAGAAATATATATATATATATATATATATATATATATATATATATATATATATATATATATATATATATATATATATATATAATTAATAAAGCCATGTATAATATGATATACACATGGTGCTAATTATTCTTTGTCAGATGTTTTGTCTTTTAGTAGGTCTTTCTTGGACATTTGATAATCAATTTGGTCAGGGATCGTTTCTTGCTGCTGGTATAAGCATATAACTTCGTAAAACCTGTCGCATACTGCTTGGAGATGAGATGGGCATCAACAAGTAAACCCGATTACACAGAGAGATTCCCTGAAGGGAAATTACTCAGAATAGTCCTCCGGCGATTCAGTAGGTCATGAGAAACTTCCACGTATAATTGTTTCGTTTTTGTGCTATGAGTTGGCGCATTCTTATTACATCGTTCGTTATCAAGTTGTCCGCCATAATACATCACTGCGACATAATCGACATCTCTCCATAATTCAAACTTCTTTTCTCTTTCTTAATTTAATTTCTATCTTTTTGTCAACTTGGAAGAAAAAAAACAAAGAAGTCGTCCGTGTGTATTTCAAAGTTTTTCATTTTTCCTAACACAAGCAACGTCCCAATATTTATCTCTGATATTTCACTCGCTTTATTCACACACATGCTTTCTGTCTATCTTTCTCTCTATTTTCTTATTGCATCATCAGCATAGAGTCCTATTTTATTACCCAGTACCTCCCTACAAGCGCCATCCCACTTCCTCACAATCTTATCGTTTTAGATTCGCTTCTGCGGACCAACTGCTTGTTTCTTTACTTGCAACTCTGTCCATCTTTGCATACATACGCAGTTTTCGTGTCGTCATTTCCACTTTCTTCCTTTCTTTCTTCCTTTCTTTCTTTCTTTCTTTCTTTCTTTAATGAGTTTCCATTTTTCTTTTCTTTCTTTTTTTTTTGCTTTCTTTATTTCATTCTAGCTTTCTTCATTTTAATGTTTTTTTCATTGTGTATGTTTTTCTACACATTTTAGTTTTCTTTTTTTCTTTCTTTTATTCTTGCTTTCTTTCTTTCATTTCTGCTTTCTTTCTTTTAATGTTTTTTCAGTGCATATCTTTTTCTTCATATTTTTCTTTTTCTTCTTTCTTTTTCTTTCATTCTTTATTTCATTCTTGCTTTCATTCTTTTAATGCCTTTTCCGTGTATATATTTTCTTCACACTTTTTCTTTCTTTTTTTCTTTCGTTGTTTCTTTCTTTCATTCATTCATTCATTCTTGCTTTCTTTCTTTTAATGTCTTTTCAGTGTATATCGTTTTCTTCACATTTTTCTTTTTCTTTCTTTCTTTCTTACTTTCTTTCTTTCTTGCTTTCTTTCTTTCTTTTAATGACTTTTTAGTATAAATCTTCACATTTTCATTTTTCTTCTTTCTTTCGCTGAAAAGATTTCATCTGTGTTACATTCTTTTTTCTTCACATTTTCTTTTCTATGTTTTTCTTTTTTCATTTTTTCCTTTAATGTTTTTACAGTACATAACATATTTCTTTCACATTTTTCTTTTTCTTTTTTATTTTCTTTCTTTTAATGTTTTCGTGCATATCATTTTCTTCCCATTTTCCCTTTTCTTCCTTTTGCATTTTCTTTCTTTCTTTCTTGGTCTTTTCTTCTTTATCATTTTCCTCTTTCATTTTTCTTTCAAAACCAAAACGCCTGGAAGCAGTGACAGGATATAGTTTTACCTACCTGCAAGTCTTTTACTAGCAGATAGTAGTAGCGAGACTGCTACCCTTGTACTTCGAACAGTGGCACTAAGTTCTACAGGCAAACCAGAAGAATACAACTACAACGACTACATTAACTGTTGCCTTGCTGTGAGGTAATGAAATAGTGTGGAGGAGTAATCAGCTTTTGGGTGGGTGTCTATAATAATTGGAGTCTTGCCGATTCGAGTCATGTGCTCAAAGTGAAACGTCATCAAATTACTGGCCAATCAATAAGCGCCAAATGTAAGAATTCGCTGAGTCATTTTTAACTTGGCGCCAATGAATCTTTCATTATTTACAAATACGTTTTCTTCCTGCTCTTTTTCTTTAACTATTTATTTATTACCACTTTGTTTATTAATTAGATTGTTTGAAACTATGATTAATATTGCGTAGATACCATTATATCTTTATTGTAAGCGTTAATTTATCACCTTGCATGGGGCATTTTACCTACCCCATTGTTATATTTAAGAAAACAATCTTAAGTTTTATTTATCATTAAAACTAACGCACCACTACTAGTAATAAGATTACTTAAATTATATTGACTGTTTGTAAACAATTTTTAAAACTCAAATACGAAAAAATCATATTTCTGTATAATAGATTCACTTTATTTACTTAAAGCTGGGACGGGTTGTGTATTTATTAAGATGACGACTAAATGTTACGGAAACCAAATAAAATTAATGTTTACTTCTGGGGAATTTCCACCAAACTACGAGGCTGTGACCAACATTTTGTTGAACCTGAGAATTAAATAGAAGACTAAATTTTACTTCTTGACTTTAATCTATGTCAATGGCTTTTGTGCGCTTTCATCTGTCTAAAATCATTACTGCAACTAATTTTTAAAATAAATCAGAAAAAATATTTTCTGCTATTTAATTTTTTTTTCCGTAACTTTATCTTCTAAATCTTTTATGTAAGTTTTCTTTATCTTATACTAGCAGTAGAGCCCGGCATTGCCCGGGGATGTAACAGTAAGAGATAGATCAAGTATCGACCATCATAAAGACTGAAAAATAAAATTGACAAAGATTATTGTTTAAGGTTGACGGACACGCATGTCTTAATTAGTTTTTTTTTTTTTTCTTACGAATTGGTCAAACCCAAACTGAAACAAAAATATTGTTTTCAATCGTTATGAGTCTACCGATTGAATAGAATTTTATTATAAACAATTGTCTTGTAAATGGAATTTTAAAAGCATTCTGAATGTAAAAATAAAGAAAAAAAGTGTAGAGACAATAACAAACACTACCTGCCAAAAAAAAGTGAAGTTTTGTTGAAATCAGTTAAAAAATGTAGGAAATCCGATCCCATACATAAACGAATACACACACACACACACACACACACACACACACACACACACACACACACACACACACACACACACACACAACCTGGGTTTTATAATAAGTATAACTCGATATTAATAAGTATAACTCGATATGAGTTGTCCCCCTTTTATTAATGCCTCTTAATCGTGTTTCCAAATTGATTTTGTGCAAAAACAATTGTGTTTTTCCAATTTTTGGCGATGTCAGAACCCCCGCAAGGTAATTTTACGCAGTCCTGTGGAGCTTTGTTGAAATCGGTTGAAAAATGTAGGAAATCCGATCCAATATATAAACGTACACACACACACACACACACACACACACACACACACACACACACACACACACACACACACACACACACACACACAATCTGTGTTTTATAATAAGTAAGATGTGTAAAACTGCGTATGGCGTGTCATTCCAGAAAATAAGTACAAACGAAAAGCAATATAATAAATAAATAGAAATTAAATTTGATATCAAAACAAAAGAAATGTTTACGGTAGGAAAATATATCTGAAAGACAATTTCATTTTATGAGAAAATCAAATAAAAAGTAGAATCAGGAATCTTTAATAAAACTTAATATCTTTAAACTTATTTAGCCCCCTCCCTGTTTTAACATCTGATTTAGCACCCCTCATTTTAACATCTGATTTAGCACCCCTCATTTTAACATCTGATTTAACTCTCGCCCCATGTTAATATCTGATTTAGCACGGCCATTTTTTTTAAATTTTTGGCGCCCTGATTAAAGCTGAGTTGTTTTTTTTTTGTTTTTTTAATTGTACAATTATTTGTTTTATTTGCATATGCAGGACATGATAAAAAATCTACTCCCAATATGAGGCTCAGCAAAAAATGTTGTTTTCGTTCTTTTTTTTTTTTTTTTAATTTTCTTTATTGTTTTTGTTTCCATTGAACTTTATTCCCATTTCTCGCCGTCAAAGTCAGTAAGATTGGATATAAGCATGTTTTGTCTATATCCGGTTGCTACTCTCCCAAGTTGTTATGTTGTCCAGGCCAGAGTAAGAAAGAGGCTCATCATTTTATGACGGGAGGCTTCGCGGAAAAGCCGGCAGGCGTTAGTGAAAGGGGATTTGTAGGGGTTTCAAGGGTGAAAAACTAGTTGACTTGACCTCTTGTAGTCATCCCCTTCTCTTTCTTCCTATTTTTTTTTCCTGCTTGTCTACGATCTTAGCCCCTTCGGCAACGAGTTTAATCCTTTTCGCTGAGAGTTTGCTTGTTATGTTTTGACACTTCATATGATTTGATGAGCCTGACGTGGATGTGGAGTGGCTTATGGGTGAATAACACCGAAAAAATTTGTAGCCGGGCGCAAAAGAAATAAAGATTAAGTGAGGAAAACGATGGAGGGGGAGAGAGAGGCGATTAAAGAAGTGATGGAAGAGAAAGGGGGAATTAGGAAAGAGAGGAACATTGATTAAAAGAAAGAAAGAAAGAAAGAAAGAAAGAAAGAAAGAAAGAAAGAACAAAGGTTTATTTATTAAGCTGAGCTAAATTTGACACAAGACCAAAACAAAAAAGCATTTTCCAGTGAGACTTGAACTGGGAGAGAAGAAAAAAAAATGAAATATAAATTTGAAACTCTTGAGATTTTTTTTTACAATTTCTCATTTCATGAAACATTATATTTAACGGAGTCGACATCTATCTTTTGTAAATCTCTGTCTGTCGGCCTGTACATTCGAGAGTCTTAATAAAGAATATTCGCCTTCCGGCAGTAGACGAACCCACGCCCTTCTTGCAGAGGAAACAACCGTTAAGCCCGAAGTGCTTTTAAACAGCTCAGCCCCATACAACCTTCATACACGGGCAAAGTCCAGTAACCATGTTTAATGAAAGTTGTATGTATGTATGTATGTATGCATCTCTCATATATATACATATATATTATAAATTAATTATGTTTTTTTCGCTACACAGTTCTAACCATGTTTCAAAAATGGAATATATATATATATATATATATATATATATATATATATATATATATTAGTGAACTCTCTCCCGTCGTATTCGGCGTACGAAGTTCAAGCAGCTCAGTTCCTTGGGAACGACAGCCCAGAAATCAGCAAACATTTGATTTGATTATAATGGTGAAGGCTTTGTGCAGAACTAACCACACTTTTTGAAGGGCCGAAAACAGAGACCTGATGCACTACGTGCCACAAGGTCCCCAAACGACCCTCCGCAGGTTTTGAATTCAGAGTTGTCCTTCACCTAGATCATTTGCCATCCAAGGCTATAGAATCCGGTCTGTCCTGCTATTTACCCATAGCTGGAGGGAGAAGAAGAGGATTCATATCTTTCTCATGGGTATTAGCACGTAAATGAATGTAATGGATTTGATTGGAATTCGAACTCGGCACTCCGATTCCTCAATACGAGCCGCTATCTACTAATATATATATATTGTGTATTTTGGCAGCAATCACTCTTTTATACATGTTTCGTTAAAGACGACTGACAAGATACCGCGATGAAGCTTTTTATTTAATTTTTCTTGTGTTCGTAGAATTGTTTTCTTTTTTTTTTCTTTTCTGGACACAAAGTGTGTAAGAACTGTCCAAAAGTTTTGCGCTTTCGGCTATTCTTTTATCCATTATCAAGGACGATTTTAATATTTTTTAGTTGCCCCCTACCAAAAAAAAACAAAACAACCCCCCCCAAAAAACACGACATTCAATAAAAATCTTCTTATCTTAAAAATCTTCTTCTTATCCTTACAATCTGCACATTTGCCCGTTTTACGTCCATACAACATTCCCATCTAGTCCCCCTCTGTCCCAAGTTGTTATTGGATCTTTTACTTTCAGTAAAAACAAATCACGCAGTGTAATTTGGATTTGAATCAAATTAAGTAAAAGATGCAATTAAAAAAATCTTGTATATGCAACCACCCATCAAAAAGTTAATGTGAAAAATTGAAGAATTTGACGTGAGTAGACAGAAAAACACAAATTAATGGGCATCTTCAATGCAGAATTCGGATTAAGAAATGAGTCATATCCTAGTATGGAAAATTTTGAACAAGAAAGAGATTAATCTGAAAAATAAGTATTGCTGGCTTAAAATAGATACTTTTGCCATCATTACTTCTTAATGTACCTACAAATAAGTATTTATCTTTCCACACATGCATACAAACTCACACACACGCGCGCACACACACAGAGAAGATATGCTAGAAAAAACTAAGATGTCAACTGTCCTGGGTAAGACGATAAACTACATCCGGTAGCAAGGCTTCTGTTCAGAATGTTTTGAGGAGCGTGGAACCACTTCTTCATTGCTGTTGTTCCTAGGTCCACCCTGACCTAGGGTGGTAGTACCTGTTGGCACATAAAAAGAAAGACATTTTCCCGTAGCTAGGATACTAACAGTTACTGCCACCCTAGGTCAGGACGTTGGCGATCATGGCTGTCCACCTCCATCTATCTCTTGCAGCTCTCAGCAAATTCATTCCCTCTGCTTCCTCCTCTAGACCACGTTCTGTCATCCACCTGCTCAAGCTCATCAGGTATGTCACGCACTGTTTTCCCTTGTCTCTCTTTCCCTCTATTCGACCTGTGTGTATCAGATTCTCCAGACCCT